AGTGTCGTTTTGCAGGATGGGCTCAAGTTCCACACATCGGAAGTCCAATGTTCTCTCCCGTTTTCGGCCGAAAAATAGATACAGCCAGCCTGTAAACGTTTTTTTCTGCCTTTTCTGTACATATATTGCGTTTTTTTGTTGATAAAACCGATTATATTAATTGCATTGATGGCAAAAAGACCAAATACACAAAGTTCTAAGCCGTCTTTCAAAAAGTCTAACGAGCCTTAAAAATCAGACTAACCAAATATTTAATGACCGATCGCTTTGAGTTTCCAGGTTTTTGTAAGTTTAGCATGGAATTTATCGATGCTGGTTTTTTTGCAAGAACAGTGAGAAAAATGATCTTCTCGCATTGTTGGACTTCCCGTCCGTTTTGACACTGAAACGCATAAAAAAACGAGAATTTTTTTCATCGTGTTCTTAACTTTCGTACTAATTTAGCTTGACTAGAATGAATATACTTAGATAATTTTTTTGATGATGAATATAGATAATTCAACAAACAAGCAATTTGAAAAAAAGTTCATTTTTTTCAAAAAAATCATTTTTTTGGGAACGTGTAGACAACTTCTAACTTGTGATTTAATGATAACATCCTCTTCTGGGCGTTCAGTCATTGCCGGAAAGCTCATTGAATTTCTGCTGAACAGTATTCAAAAGATTGTTAATGAAAACATTATAAAGAAAATTTAAATCCTGAGTTATTGCAAATTTTTAACGTCACTTCTGGCCTTTCGGCAGGAGATACAAATAGCTATCGGGTACTGTATCTCTAGGGTATGCAGATACTACCGGGGAGGATCTGGGTACTATCGCTATCCTACAAAAAATTTGCGATTTCCACAAGTTTGTCCGGCGTATTCTACTGGGTAGCTTTCTTTTTCCAGTTTTAGCTAATGAGGTTTTGGCATGGTTAAAAAAAGACCATGCTACTAAAAGACCGATTTGACACCCGGTAGCAATCGCCAGTTTTAGGTAGGCTAGCTATAGTAACTAGCTATAGAGATAGTACCTGCTAGCTAAAAAAGGCCACCGATTGGTTTTAGCTTATACGAAAAATGTTTTTATTTTCCACTCCGAAAAATAAAAGTCAAAGTGATCTCCATGGATAAATGCTTATTGATCATCACTATCTTTAATGATAACGGGCAACCCCTGTTCGTCACTTATTTCAAAGATCGTTCCGAAAGCGCTGAGAAAAGAGTCGAACTTTTCTTCTCAGAGATCACCCACGTCTATTTTGGGCGTCTCCGCCCTTATGTCTGTCAAAGAACACGCAAACTTGGAAGGTACCTTCTGCCAAAACAACTTGAAATACGTCATTCTGAATATGAAAATCTCCTTGGACTACGAAAATAGTGTCCTCGAGGCTTTAAATGTAATTTCTCTCGATTCGAACATCTTAAACGAAAACTTTGGCGTTTTTTGGTGAGGCTCCATCCGGCTCAGTAAAACGTCTTCTCGTTCTGTCCAAGTGTCCGTCCACCGTTGTTATTTCGAAAACAAAGTACGAAATGAAGACAAGAATAGTTTACAACGCTGTAATAGTCAAAAAATTTCGAATGAATAGAGAATGACGCTTACACTAATCAGCGCGTGATCAACAAGGCAGGCAAACACTCGATGATGAACTATATAAGGTGGGGCGTACGATGGCTCAGTCAGCATCCATTCACTCGCAAATTCCACATGAACTTCTTCCTCTGCTTCGTCGCTCTTCTCTTCTGTCTTCTCGAACCCTCTGACGCCGCAGTCCTGAGGAGCCGCCGTCAAGTCGTCAGCAACCTCGTCGGAGATCCTTTCCTTGGTGGTCCTTCCAGCATGGGTACGTTTTCTCCTTTTTATTCTTTTCAAAAAAAAGCCTCAAACCTGAATCAATTTGCTGGAACCAACGTCATCAGTGTCGTTTTGCAGGATGGGCTCAAGTTCCACACATCGGAAGTCCAATGTTCTCTCCCGTTTTCGGCCGAAAATAGATACAGCCAGCCTGTAAACGTTTTTTCTGCCTTTTCTGTACATATATTGCGTTTTTTGTTGATAAAACCGATTATATTAATTGCATTGATGGCAAAAAGACCAAATACACAAAGTTCTAAGCCGTCTTTCAAAAAAAAAAAAGTCTAACGAGCCTTAAAATCAGACTAACCAAATATTTAATGACCGATCGCTTTGAGTTTCCAGGTTTTTTTTTTGTAAGTTTAGCATGGAATTTATCGATGCTGGTTTTTTGCAAGAACAGTGAGAAAATGATCTTCTCGCATCCTTGACATTTCTTTGTTGGTTTGATCGGGGTTATTGCGAAGATCGTCCTATCCGTTGCAAAATTCAAACGGCCGGAAAATCAGAATAGAATTTCATTCATATTGTTTCTCAATATTTAGACGACATCATGTGAAGGCGTCACTCTCTTTCATCATCAAACATTTTACGAATCGCCCTTTGACACGGCCAGAATCAGAAGACCGTTGTTAACTATTTTCCCACACAAATAACTCAAGTTTCCAGGAAATGGTTTGGAGGTTTCGAAACTTTGTGAAAAAAAAGGCTTGAATTATTGACCTTTCGATGGAGGGCTACTGCGAAGATTTATTTATTTATCGTTGTAACGCTTCACTTTTTCCAAGGTTTTTTTTTTTGAGTTTTGCCCGAGGTATAAGCGACCAGCTTTTGGCGAAAAACTCGAGGTCATCCAAAAAGTGAAAAAAATATGAACTTCTTTTCTTATTTTTTACTAAGTTTTTTTCGAAACTATAAAAAAATTTAAAAAAACTAATCAAAAACCACCAGAAAAGGCGAAAGAAAAAATCAAAAAACGTGGCTCGCATTTAAATTTACGTTTCCCGCCAGATAGCCGCGTCGTACGCAACGCTTCACCCTTGCCAATAAACCCATATTGCCTTTCAAAGGGGAAAGAATTGACTATACTTGTCTGAGAACCTTTTTTTGTATGATTATCGATCTGCGAAATCAGTGTCTTGAACAACTGATAGAGTTCAAACGTTTGAGTGAATTCACCGACCTGATTCATGTATCAGTTCGGTCTCTTGCACGGCTACTATCAAACTTTCTTTTCTCTCGAAAAAGTCGCGTGCGAGGGAATCGTGAATCTTTTTTTTGCAGACGTTTCTCTGATCTTTGCAACAAACCTTGTTATTATAACTTAGGAATTTGATGCGACTTTCAGTTGTAAAAACGGAAGACCGTCTGCGTAGTTGAATACTCTTTTTGAACATGATGTCTGCTTGAAACGAATTTGTTTTTTTTTGGAAATTGCGAAGGATTGGCATCCAAAAAATTTCTCGTAATTACATTTACTGAGTATTCCACGAATTTTTCAAAATGTTTACTTCCAAAAAAAGTTCAATTGAAGTTTTGCAGAATATTCGAGAAATTGGAAAGTGAAAATTAAAACATGGATAGCGTGCAGTAGTTAAAAACTATTCTTTGGATGCGAACGTCCTCGAAGTTATAACAAAAAGAAAAAAATTTGAAAAATCTTTTTGTGAGGAATTGGCAAACCAACAACAA